ATAGGGCTTTCAGCCCACTCTAAGCGGTTTACAGAGTCAGCATATCGCCCCCACAGTCTGGGTCCTCATTTCACCCACAGATGTGGCGATGGCTCTCATGCCTGCAGAAGGTTCTGCGTGCCACCCACTGTGGCACACGTGCCATATGTTCACCATCTCAGGTGTAGGGTATTCTGTTGCGAGCAGAGGAGTGGAGGACTCTTCTCGTGAAATACCTCCCGACTCGCTCAATTGTATTAATGTCCGATATGCAGTGCAGATTCCAGACAGACGAGCTGTATTCAAGAATTGGTCTAGCAAAGGTTTTGTATGAAATGCAGCAGGTGTGGCGCCCGAGGCTTCTCCTCGCCTTGCTGGTGCCCGCTTTCTGCACGCAGGGACCCTGGGCCATCGGAGGCGGGAAAACGGTGGTGCCGTCACCCAGGAAACCTACAAGGTGTGGAGGAAGTAACTTTGGTTTACTCCAGCTGAGCTGCAAGTTTTCTGCCTGCAGGGATTGACTTCAGCAAGAGCTGAACACAGCTGAGCGCATAGGCGGTACCTTCCTGTGGTAGCTGAGCCCTCTTTTCCCTCCCCAGGGTGCATTAAACATCCCTGGCTGGGGTTAGGTGGAGTAGTCATTTAGCATTGTATGCAAGGCAACAGGTCCTTCATCCCAGTCAGAGGCCATAATGGGGGACTTTGGACATGAGCTTAGCTCGGAGATTGCTCTGAAAGAGGGTCCTTTTTTTAAAATTTCTTTGTTTGTTTAGTTTGTCAAACATGTACGAGTTAACTGGTATAAATATAAACATGGACATGAACACAGGAAATGGGTACGAATAAATGGGGACAGTAGAACAGGGATGGTAGGCACGCTGGTGCGCTTATGCACACCCCCTTACAGTCCTCTTAGGAAAGGTCCACACTAGACCATTTAAGGTTAAAGATATTGGATGAAAAAGCTGGTCAGAATTGGTCCAATTTGAGAAGATGAATTTACTCATCTCATTCTAATTAAGTCAGATTTCATTCTTCATCAGAATTAAGTTCAGTGCCCAAAGCTGATGGAGGAATGGAGACCACCAGTTTAATCTAATGCAGGAGTGGCAGTTCCTGGGAAATTTGGGTCTTGGTCCACAGGTCTTAAAAGTTGCCAAGGTTGGACACTCCTGGTCTACTGTTTAAGGCACCAGGTTAGAAACTGGGAGACTGTGAGTTCTAGTTCCGCTTTAGGCACAAAGCCAGTTGGGCGTTTGCACCCATGACTCTCCGCCGTAGGAAGAAGACCCGGGCAAGCCACATTGGAAGTCTTGCCTAGGAAATTGCCGGAGCATGTCCAGGCAGCTCTCACACTTCCTTGAAGAAGATGATGGATAGATGGACAGACAGATTTTTCACCCATAGGAATTGGCTGCTTAACAATGCGGTGATTGCTGACTAATTAAAATGCCCTCTGACCTTTGCTGCAAAATCATTACCAAGCTGCATTGCTTGCTTTCATGCCAACGAGCAGAAAATCCTTCACTGAAGGTCTGAAAACTCCTTTATGTCAACACGGAAGAACTTGTAGAAACAATCCGTTGCCAGTTAGAGAACATTTTGTGCCTTTTTATTTGTCGTTTGCTTCATCCACTCATTGAAACGATTGAGGATAATAAGCTACTAAAAATGCAAGGGCTTCTCCACTTCTTAAGACCGCTTCGCTTGGATTTTTGTCACCCCACCCATTTTTGCTCAGTAGTTAGATCAGTGGTGGGTTTCCATTTTTTTTTTACTGCTAGTTTGCTCATGCGCTCGCACCCAACACTTCTGCACATGCACAAAAGCGTCTGGGTGGGTGGGCTCAGCCTCCCACCACCACTACCAGTTCACCCAATCCGGGCCAAATCGGCAAAACCCCACCTCTAAGTTAGATATTTAGTCTTTCTAACCTTCCACTGTACAAGTAGTCTTTGACTTACAACTGTTCATTTAGTGACCGTTCAAAGTTACAAAGGAACTGAGAATAGAATAGAATTCTTTATTGGCCAAGTGGGATTGGACACAATCAAGAAATTTGTCTTTGGTGCAGATGTTCTCAGTGTACATGAAGAAAAATAAAATAGAATACATTCTTCAAGAATCATAAGATACAACACTTAGATTGATTGATTTGATTGATTGATTGATTGATTGATTTAATTTGTATGCCGCCCACTCTCAAAGAGACTCAGGGCGGCTTACAGTAAAAAAGGGGGAGGGAAGGACATACAAAAACAAGACAGCATTAAAAGATCACAACATTCACATTTGAGGGTGGGGCTGGACAATTTCAATAGCCCCAGGCCTGCCAGAACAGCCAGGTCTTGGTCGCTTTGCGGAAGGCCGGAAGGGTAGTAAGGGATCGGATCTCCATGGGGAGATTGTTCCATAGGGCCGGAGCAGCAACAGAGAAGGCCCTCCCCCGGGGAGTCGCCAGCCAACATTGACCGGCAGATGAAATCCGGAGGAGGCCTAATCTGTGCGATCTTATAGGCCTCAGGGAGGTAATTGAAATTGTC